CTATTATCATTTTCATTTTATAGATGAAGAAACTGAGGCATACAGAGGTTAAGTAACTTGCTCAAATTCATGGTTAGTACATGGTAAAGTCAGTATTAGAACCCAGGACATCTTTCTTCAAAGCTTTCTTTTTTTTTTTAATGGAGGTTTTAATTTCCCGTGTAATTTACATTCAATAAGAATCACCCTTTCAGTTGTACAGTTCAATAGGATTTGACAAATATTTACACAATCAAGATTTAGGGCTGGCTGGTTGGCTCAGTTAGTCAGAGCATGGTGTTTTAACACCAAGTTCAATAGGGTCCAGATCCCCTTACCAGCTGCGAAAAAATAAAAAGATATAGAACATTTTCATCATCTCAGAAGTTCCCTGTGCCCCTTCATGGTCAATCCTCTTCTCCCACCCCTACTTCTTGACAACCACTGATCTATATTCTGTCCATATAATTTTGTCTTTTGCAGACTGTCAAATAAATGGAATAATACAATATTTAACTATTTGTGTCTGGCTTCTTTCGCTTAGAATAATGCTTTTAAGATTCAGTTGTCTTGGGCCGGCCCGTGGCTCACTCGGGAGAGTGTGGTGCTGATAACACCAAGGCCACGGGTTTGGATCCCATGTAGGGATGGCCGGTTCGCTCACTGGCTGAGCGTGGTGCTGACAACACCAAGCCGAGGGTTAAGATCCCCTTACCGGTCATCTTAAAAAAAAAAAAAAAAGATTCAGTTGTCTTGGTGCATGTATCAGTGGTTTTTTCCTTTTTATTGCTAAGAAGCATTCCTTTGTATGAATGTATCACTGTTTGTTCATCCACGCCACCTGATAAACATTGGTCTGTCTGTGACAAAGCTGCTGTAAACATTCATGTACATGTGTTAATGTGGACATATGTTGTCATTTCCTTTGGGTAAATACCTAGGAGTAGGATTGCTAAGTCATATGCTAAGTTCACATTTAGCATTATAAGACACTGCCAACTGTTCCAAAATGGCTATACCATTCTGCATTCTGACCAACAATATATGAAATTTCCTGTTGCTCTGCATCTTCACCAGCACTTTTGTATTGTCTGTTTTTTAATGTTAGCCATTCTAGTTGATGTGTGGTAGTATCTCATTGTGGTTTTAATTTGTATATCCCTAATTACTAATGATATTGAACATCTTTTCATGTTCTTATTTGCCATTTGGTGTAGTCCTTTAAACTAAAGAAATTCCTTTAGCATTTTCTCCAGTACATGTTGGCTGTCAATGTCTTCTCTCAGTTTTTGTTGTGAAAGCCTATTTCACTTCAAAAATATTTTTGCTGGGTGTCAAATTCTGTGCTGACAGGTTTATTTTCTTTCAGCACTTCAAAGATGTTGCACAACATTCTTGTGACTTATGTAGTTTCTGGAGATGTCTGTTCAATGTTTGTTCCCCTGTATGTAATCTTTTCCCCTCCTCTGCCTGCCTTCAAGATTTTATCTTTGTTTTTGGTTTTCAGCATTTGACTACAATGTGTCCAGATATGGGGTTTTTTTTTGGGGGGGGGGGATATTTGTTTTTATTAGAAAAAAATTTTTTCTTAGGTTTGCTGAGATTCTTAGATCTATAGTCTGTCACTTTCATTGATTTTGGAACATTCCTAGCCATTTATTTCTTCAAATATTTCTTCTGCCCCATAATCTTTTTTCATCTCCTCTGGGACTCCAATTACACATGTTAGATCATTTGATATTGACCCATGGCTTTTGTATGCTCTGTTTTGTTTTGGGGTTTTTTCCTACTTTTTTTCCTCTGTCTTTCATTTTGGATAATTACTATTGATCAGCCTTCAGGTTTATGAATTCTTTCTTCTGCTGTGTCTAGTCTGCTGATAAGCCCATCAAAAGAATTCTTTGTCCCTGGTATTGTTTGTTTTATTCCTAGTATTTACATTTGACTATTTTTATGGTTTCCATTCTCTGTTGAAATTCCCAATCTGTTTAAGCATGCTGTCTGTCTTTTCCATTAGATACTGTATTCATCATGTAGTCTCTGTCTGATAGTTCCAACATCTGTGTCATCATTAAGTATGCTTCTGTGGGTTGTTTTATCTCTTGACAATGAGTCTTTTCCCCCCCTTTCTTTCTCTTTTGTGTGTGTTGTAATTTTTTGTTAAACCCCACACACTATGTGTAGGAAAGCAGTAGAGGCTGAGGTAAGTAGTACATACACCTAGACAGGCCTGCTTAGTGTAGGGATTGAGCCAATCTATCAGTAGTTGGCTGGGTTTGGGTTTGTTGTTTCTATCATTGCCTTCAATGCACATCAGGCTTCAAATTCCTCCAGTGATGGGCTGCTATCACCTTGTGCTCAGTGTGGATCCTGGGGTGCCAGTGGATTTTTCTGTGTTCCTTTTCCACCCTCAGCTTTGAGCAGTTCCTACATGCTTGTGCCACAGAGGTGCTCCTTCCCCACACTCTTTCTCCTCCCTCAATAGTAGACTGTAATTGCTTATTCCTTGGTACTGTATGTTTACACCGAGGTTGGGGAGTTCTTAGTTCTCCTGCTCCATCCTCAGTCTTTGGCAGGACATGTTACTGGGCCGCAGGGGGAGGTCTTTTCAGCATTCCTGTTCATCCCTTCTTTCCCTGGCAGCCAAACACTGCCTATGTTTGTAATGGATCTTGAGAAAGGAGTTTTTTGCCCTTCCCCAGGAGTAGCAGACCTCTGGTTTGCACAGTGTAGAATCGTGGGCCCAAGAGGCCTCAAGGCAACCAGGAGCCAATGGCTTTGGCTTCTGCTCTTCCCCCAGAACCAGTGGCTCTTGGCCTGGTTTCTTTGGCAGGAAGGAGAGTCTCCTATTCCCTGCCTCAGAGACAAACAGGTTTTGCTTCTACCCCCCTCGGATGGCCCGGGAGCAAGAGGGTTTGCTGCCCCTCCCCCAGCAGCTGAAGGCTTTTGCTTCCTTTGAGAGAGGGGCTGGGAACAGACAGTACTCCATGCCTGTCCCCCAGCTGCAACCTGTCACCTCTTGCATGCCTGTGCCACCAAGGGACCTCTGCTCTGCTGCCCAACCCCAGTTACTCTCAGCAGCACTGGGTGGAAGCCTGTGCAGAAAAGCTTGCAAGTGAGTGCAAATGCCACTGTGTCTGGGGCTCCCAGTTACTGTACACCGAGAGGCCAGCCCACACTCTGCCTTCTGTGGCGGTCACCTCTTCCTCCCATGCTCTACCAAAGATAAAACCATTTGTGTGGCCTGACTCTCCTTGGAGGGGCGTCTTATTTTTTAAAGTTAAATTCTTCTGCTTGTCATGAGACCTCAGCTTTCTGAGTTTTGAGCTTTTTGTTGTTCTTAGGATGGAAGCAACACTCTCTTATTGCTTCCTACATCCTAAAGGGAAGCAGAACTCCCCCAAAGCCTGCTTTTTAAATTCCAGCTCTGCACTTCCTCCCAAGAACTTTCATTTCCAGGACGTTGTTTACGCTTCACCATATAAAATAGGAAGTGGTTGTATCCCCTGCCTAGAACCTGCCAATCAAAAACAGAAGTGCAGAGAAATCAAATGTGCTCAGTACAGAGCGATCAGAGTCTAGCTTGTTTCTCCTCTGCAGAAAGTCATTTCTGTGGCACAGGTTCCCACTTGAAAAATGAGCATGGCCCCTCACGTGAGCGTCACATCTCTTAGGTATCAGGGAAGCCCGAGCAACTCTAAAGCCCTTCTGTTGTTTACAACTTTACCTCATCAAGTTCCTCTCCTGCAAAGAGCCCCCAGTGTTTCCATGTGCTTTATCTCATCTGTCCTCAAACACTCGTGTGATACAGGAGCAGGTGGTGGTCTCTTCAGCCTCAAAACTGACAGAAGTGAGAGGCCTAGAGGTGAAGTGTAGCCCCTGGGATCACATGGCCCTGCCTATCCCACATTCAGACTCTGTGACTCCAGCCTGGTCCCACTGTGCTGTGTGCTAATTCTAAGGTCTCCTGGGCAAAAAAAAGTCTCCACAGTCATTCGTTCAGGGTTTGAGCGATTCATTTTGTGATTTGACTCTGAAACATAAGAGGGTTTGGTTTTGTAGGTAAAAACAGTGTCTCAAACTGCATCCCTTTTGTTAGGAAGAAGTTGTTTTTTTTTTCTTATTTATTATTATTTTTTCTTATTAGTGTTGGAAACTGTGCCCTGTGGCAGAGAGCCAGACTGAGGGCCTGGT